AACCTTTGGAAAGGAGGAGACTGGAGACTGGGAGGGTCTTGGGCATGTCAGCAAGTGTTGATAGTATGTCTCATCAGGGCAGTGACACACTTTTCTGCATAAATATGTAAAGTATATTTTCTTTATATCTTTTCTCTGTTATACCTATGTGTTTTTTTTTTTTTTTTTTTTTTTAATATGAGGAACTGAACCCAGGGCTTTCACACTGAGTTACACCCCCAGTGCTTTTACTTATTTTGAGACGATATCTTGCTAAGTCACTAAGTTGTCCAGGCTAGGTACAAACTTGTAATTCTCCTCTCTCAGCCTCTGGAAGTGCTAGAATCCCAGGCGAGTGCCACCACACTCAGTTTCTATGGCACATTTTAATAAAGAAGTTCGTTTTTTAGAATGCTTTTTTTTTTTTTTGTGGTACCGGGGATTGAACTCAGGACCTTGCACTTGCCAGGTAAGCACTTATTCTACTGAGCTATCTTCCCGGCCCCTTCATTTTTCAAAATTTGTTCCTGTTCACATTTTCTGTATACATGGATTCAATTTTAATATGTTTATTTAAAATTATGATTAGAATATTTTCTTTTTCATTATGGATTTAGGAAGCACCATCTCTTTGGAATGTTTGTTTGAAAGACACTGTCTAAACTTTAGTCTAACAGGTCTGGAGGAAAATTGGACACGGAGGAGTCAGCTGTGCTGTGGAAGAGGCTGTAACTCACTCCCTTGATTGTACTCTGACTTCTGGGTCTTGCATTTGAGCCAAGGCAGCTTTTCCGAGTGCTATGCTTGGCGTGGGAGAGGTTGTTCCAGGAGACTGCGCAGACTGGGGAAATGTTGTGCATCCTGTGATGGATCAGGTTGGTGTTCTCAAAAAGGGTTGAGGGCTGGGGAGACAGCTCGGTGGTCTAAGTGCCTGCCTGGCAAGCACAAAGATCTGGGTTGGATACCTGGCACTGGTACTGTATGCTGTGCCAGCCCTGCCCTCAGGGTGGGCTGAGCCTGCAATAAATAAATTAATTAATTAATTAATTTAAAAAGTGGGTAGAGTGCCCGAGAGACCATGAGGGCCGTGAGGGGAAGGTGGGTAGAAAACACTCAAAACACCACCTAGGTGTGCTGTTGTTCAGTGATCGAGCGCATGGTTCCCACATATTCAAGTTTCCATGGATGGGGGTATCTGGTGTTGTCCCCTAGTGCGGAGTTTATCCTCAGGATCTAAAGCCTGCACAGTCATCAGCCTGTCCTGCATGGAGTGGCATCCTGCAGAAGAGGAAGCTGGGTGTGGTGGCACATGTCTGTAGTCCCAGCACTTAGGAGGCTGAGGCAGGAGGATGATGAGCGCAAGGCCAGCCTGAGCTACACAGGGAACCCCGTCTCAAGAAACAAAACAGAATGGGAGAGGAATAAAGGGAAGGAGAGGAAAGGAGGGGATGCTCACACCCAGCCCTAGACCAGCGGACAGCAGCTGATGGAGGCTGCTAGCCCAGACGTTCTTGAGACCAGGGAGAGAACAGACCCTGGTGGGGCATGTTCACCAGGGACAACTTGAGGCGGAACACTCAAAACTTCTGCTTTTTGCTAGGTACAAATGCTAAAAGTAGGTACATGACTACAATCCCAGATCTTCAGGAGGAGGCTGAGGCAGGATTACAAGCTTGAAGCCAACCTAGGAAGACCTGTATCAGAGTGAAAAAGAAAAAGGGATGATGGTGTAGCTCAGTTCAGACCACTTGCCCCATTTGCACAAAGCCCTAGTTCCATCCCAGGCAGCAAAACCAACTCCCAGACCCATTTCTGCTTTCCTTGTATTCACAAAACTGTTCTGGAAGGGTGAAGTGGCCAATATCTACAAGGAATGAACATGGGCTTCTGTTCTAATCAGAAAAATAAACCTTCTGTGAAAAGATGACTGCAAGGGTGTGCTGAAGGTGGTGGCACCAGGGAGTGAATGGCAGATGAACATTCTGCTTCTAGTTGCAGAGGCATGGGAGGGGTGCTTCTCTATGCACCTGGAACACTGGAGAGCCTGCCTGTGTTGAATACTAGCAGCAGAAGTGGAGGGAGGGATAGCCACTGACTGGGACCAGCATCCTGTAGCCGGCCACAGTTGCAGTCTCTTCATGCCCCAGCCACTGGGCTGTGGGAAGAAAAGCCAATGCCAGGAACCAGCCCTGCCTCACCTTGATCTGAAGTCGGTCACAACCACGTGGGCAGGAGGCCAAGCCTACTGGTCACCAGAGCAGCAAGACAGTCATTTCCCAAGACCAGGGTGAATGAATCACCTTAGCTGTTTGTCCCCACACCGGAGTCAGAGGCAAAGGAGAAAGAGCTATTATCAGCCCCTTTCTGCTCCTCCCTTGGGAGGAACATATTTCCCATCTAGAATTCCTCAGAAAAAAATTATTTTCCTGTGACAGGTGTTCGCTACGTAACTCAGGCGAGCCTTGAACTCAAGCAGTTCTCCAGCCTCAGCCTCCCAAGTACTGGGGTTCCAGGGGTGTACCATCATGCCTGGCCCAGAATGACTTCTGAATTGAGTTTCTGTGGGGAAGAGTGTGTGGCAGTTGGCAGGGCAGGGACAGTGGCCCCTTGCATTCTCTTTGTCCCCATCCTCAGTATAACCACACAGTCTGACTTTGGGGCTTTGTGGCCTGAACACAAATCTGCATTTCAGATCTGTCCCAGGTGCCAGCTTGGCTGCCCAGAGAGCCAGGGTGACTCTGGTGGCCATGAGTCCTGGCACTTTCTGCACTGCTGCTTTCAGAGGAGGACAGGTGGCTCACCTGTCCAGTCTAACCTGCCAGGCACCCTGCCCTGTGCTCAGGCTGGCCCACTGAAACTTCCTCTTTCAGCCCAGCTAGAGGTGGGCCGGGTGGGAGGAGAGCAGAGTCATCTAGCACACCACGCCCAGGGCAGGCCAGCTGTGAGAGCTATTTACAAACACTCAGCTAGCCTGTGCCGGGCCCCACAGACCCAGGTCTGCCTGGCCTGGGGAAAGGGTTGAGGGAGAAGGGGAGCCCAGGTTCACCCTTGCCAGACTGGGCACTGCTGTCATCACAGGGCCTGTGTGCCCCAACCCAGAATGTGGTCTACAAAACTGAAAGAAAACTGACTCTGACTCTTGGGTGGGTCAGTCAATCGCAGGGTCTCAGGACAACCTGCTGTGGTCTGGAGAGGTGCCACGGTGTGCGGAAAGACTGGTTTCTCTGCATGATGAAGTGGCCTTGTCCTCCTGTCCAGTGCCTCTGCTTTAGCCAGAGTCTAGGTTGACAGAAACCCAAACACATGAGCTCATAGGTGGCTCACAACTTTTTCCTCTCCAGCTCCCCTCCCTCTGCCTAAGCCTTCCCAGAAGAGGGGCTTGTTTCCTACTCGACCTGGAAAGCTGCTGGGCAGGTTTTATTCTGTGCTCTCTCCATTGTGGGAGCAGCACTGAAAAATGTGCTCCCAGGGCCAGCTTTGACCTCACACTTTGACTATGTCCAGCAGGAAGGCAGTGGCATGTCAGGCAGGCAGGCAACCAAGGGGGAAAATGCCTGCCTTATTTAACGCAGGAGAAAACTGAGAACAGACGCCAAGGCTGGGGAGAAGGCTGGCCCTCCTGGAATATCCTAAATTCCAGGCCAGTGGGGGCAGCAACAGCCCCACACCTCTGCTCAAGCTGTCTGGCCCCTCCTCCTGAAATGCTATTCCAGAGTCCCCTCTGGGGCTGGGTAGATGGCTCGGTAGGATAAGCACTTGCCTGGCAAGTGCAAGGGCCTGAGTTCAATCCCCAGTTCCACCAAAAAAGAAAGAAAGAAATTCAGTCTCCTCTGCCCACTAGGTCCCAAGTCAGCGCTGGTTCCTTCATCCCCACCTAGAGGAAACAGCTTTTACACCCAAAGTGGTTTATAAGTAGAACAGTTCTTTTGTATTATTAAGATGTGTGTTGGAAATGAGTCTCATTCAGCCTTGTGTGGGGCCCCGAAGTACCCAGCACATGCCTGGCACACGAATCTCTGTGGAAATGAATTGAGCCAGGACACTAAATAAAGTTAATAATGGATTGTCAAAAAAGGAAATGGTACCAAAACCAGGAGTTCAGTGGCTTTCCAGCACCCCCATCTATCAGGCTCGTGCTAAGTGAGCCTTACCCACACTGTAGCTACCCCTTTGCAACCCAAGGCTTGGCAGTCTGTTCAGGAGGCAGAGGAAGGGTCGGGAAGGGGCCCAAAAGCCAGCCTGGACAACTCTAAGACTGCCGTCAACCCAACAGAGAGGCAGCACGGCAAGTGTCCAGCTAGTCAGGGAAGGAGCTGGGCTGTGGAATCATGACCCGAGGACAGCAGGAAGAGGCTAAGCAGAGTCAGGGATGAACCTCCAAGAGGGCTGAGGGGCGAGGGCGGCCACTGGTCCTGATGTTTGGTTTGGCAATCTCATTTCCAGTTCCTTTTTTTTTTTTTCCCGCTTTTCCTAACTTGGCCTCACCTTATTTGGTGAGGGCAGGGCAATATCGGATTCTCGCTCACGGATCTCACGGCCCCCACTTACCTTCCCCTTTCAGGCCCTCACGAGAGCCTCGCCTTCCCCTGCGCCAGCCTTCCCCCGAGGGCGAGTACTGGGAGGGGGTCCCTTAAAGATGCGTTACTGCTCTTTTACAACAGTTCTAGGAGCTGACTGGTACCACGAAGATATTGAGACTGACCAAGATTAGGTAATCTTCACAAGGCCACACACCTGGTGGGGACGCTGGAACAGAACCTAAGTCTGACTCTCAGGTGAGGGCATTGGCCAGCTCCAGTCCGCAGCTGGGTACCAGAGTCCCACTATTACCTCTGAGGTCAGAATTCGAGCAGCTCCCTGCCCGCCCACGTGACCTCTTGTACCCAGGGCTCCTTGCGCTAGCCCCGCCCACCGCGCCCCGGAGGCCGCCCGGAGCAGGCAGGTGGGGAGGGGCGTGGCTTAATTGGGGCGTGGCCGGACGGGGGAGGGGCCAGTGGTGTGGGACCGGAAGCCTTAAAGTGGCTGGGCGGAGGGGCGGGCCGTGCGGGCTGGCTAAGGGTTAGAGTGAGCGTCTCTTGGGGTCCGTGCTGGCCGGTTAAGGCGTCGTTGTCACTATGTCGCTGGCGGCCTCGGCAGGCCGGGGTCTGGGGGCCGTGTGGTCCCCAACCCATGTGCAAGTGACCGTGCTGCAAGCGCGAGGCCTGCGGGCCAAGGGTCCCGGGGGCACCAGCGACGCATACGCGGTGATCCAGGTGGGCAAGGAGAAGTACGCCACCTCGGTGTCCGAGCGCAGCCTGGGTGCGCCAGTGTGGCGGGAGGAGGCCACCTTCGAGCTGCCTCCACTTCTGACCTCCGACGCTGTGCCTGCGGCAGCCGCCACCTTGCAGCTCACCGTGCTGCACCGCGCGCTGCTCGGCCTCGACAAGTTCCTGGGCCGCGCCGAGGTGGACCTGCGGGAGTTGCACCGGGACCAGGGCCGCAGGAAAACGCAGTGAGTGTCCAGCTAGTCAAGGCCGGGGTGAGGGAGGGCACTAGACCCTTCCAGCTGCGACCTGGCGCCCAGCTCTGCGACTGCTGGGGCTTTTGGAAAGCAGGGGAGGTTTTGAATGAGCAGGGTGGCTCTCGGAGCTCAGCCCTAAATGAATTTTCGGTGAATTGAAACTGTATGTGGGCAGGAGAGTGCTTCTTATTAGGATGGGGTAGTGTGACTGCTACATGCCTTAATTCACGTGGAAAGCTCATAGGTGTTTCACCAAACCGCTCACTTTGAGTTGAGAACCATTGGGCCTGGGCTCAGGGAAGATCAGCTGGATGAGTAAAACCCATCTTTTATCCCCAGGCCTTGAGACCTAACCTAGGAACAGAGCCTGGCGTGGGGAGGTTTCCTTGCCCACTTGTCTTGGCGCTTGGTGAAAATAATTTGCCCCTCAAAAAGAATGCTAGAAAGCTTGGTGTTTGTGGGTCCCAAAGTAGGAATCTCAGTGATAGGTGGCTCTAGGGTCTGTCCCGTCCAGCATAGCTTGCTTCTCTTTGGAATTCCTCAGGCTCTTCTGGATGGTCCTGCTCCTAGTGGGTGGTGGCTCACCTGTTCCTTCCTGGAGGAGGGATGTCTGTTGGGGTAGTTACTTCCCCAGGGAAAGCTGGGCAAAACTCAGTTCACCCCAGTGTTACTGATTTATTGGTTCTTTTTCACAAGTTTTTGGAAGGGCAGTGCTTAACTCTATGAAATATTTGATTATGCTTGTCTCATGCACCAAAGCTAGCCTTGATTAGTCTAATTGGTTCTTTTGCTTGACCTTCAGTATGCCAGCAGTTACATTGACACTTAAACTCTTCAAGTTCACGAAGCACAATGATTCACTTTGTATATCGTAGATATACTATTTGAACTTCTACTTGTGGGGGAGACGGGTAAAGCTGAAAGGGTTGTAGTTACCATGCTCTTTTACTTTAGGGTAGGTTCAGTTTCAGCATGCTTGCAAGTGGAATATCTGATTCGCTTATCTGGCCAAAGATGAACAGGCATTTCTAAATTCAAATCAGATGGGAAAAAAATGTAGAAAGCCTTGATGTGAAGATGGATGGGGTATCTGATAGCATCATTTTACAAGCCAGAGGGTGAGTAGTGTCTTTGTTAAGGAGGAGCTGAAGCAATGCTAATTTCCCATCTGATTAAAAGACATTTAAGCCTCAGGTTGTTGGCTGTTGGCTGTCCTTTGTCTTACACCATCTCTGGATGTGTGGTTGTTCACTTGGTCTCTGCCATCTGTTTTCTGTGTGACCATTGGGTGTCCTTGAAAGACAGATCTCACCTCTCTGCCAGAGGTGGGGGTTCCAGAGTCCTAGATCTGGTAGTCTCTGTGGTCCTGACTCACTGTTGGGTTGCTCTGCCTCTAAACACTTCAGTTTCCTTATTTATAGATGGCCATGTTACCAGAATTAGTGTGTACAGGGTGTTTCTGGGTTCCTGATCTAATGATGCCAGTGTAAAGATCCCAAAGATTTTATACGGGCTGTGTGAAAAGTGAAAACCTGAGCTCTTTCGGAAAGAACTCTTTCTCGGCATCTGCATTTTTTTCATCTTCTCCGAGGTAATTCTATACCTACTTGACTGCTCCTCTTTCTATTATAGTTGCTGATTACCACTTAGTCACAGAATGGATGTGCAGGAAAATGATGTTTAGTTAAATGGATTTTTATAAGTGTAGTGGAAGGCTTGTGCACCCGTAGGCGAAGTTGCAAGCTTTCCGTCTACCACTTGCTGGGACTTTCCAAGGTGTTGGGGGAATCTCATTTAAGCTAAGCCTGTCTGATGTTCTGGTATATCACCAGGGTGCCCAAACTAGCTGAGATTTGGAGAACAGTACATGCAACAAGGGATGAAAGTTTAACAGAAAGAAACTGATTGGACCAGCAAAATCATTTATTCATAAGTTGTTTTTTTTTTTGTTGTTGTTGTTGTTGTTTTAAACCAGGGATTGAACTCAGACCCTTGCCTTACGCTTGCCAGGCAAGCACTTATTTACTGAGCCATCTCCCTGGCCCCTAGTTATTCATAGTTTAACACCACCTTAAACATTAAAAAGCAAAAGCAAAACAGAAGCTGAAATCTTATTCTATAGATTGCGCACAAGTAGATGCATATGTTTGGGTGTGTGCATTTGTGTCTTTAACTATGTATTTGGTACAGGGTCTCACCATGAGGCTTGGACTTATAGTGATCTTCCTGTTTTCAGCCTCCCCAGCCCTGGGATTCCAGGCATGTACCACCACTCCCTGACTTCGTGTCTTAATCTCTAGCAACTGAGGAATTGCTTCAGTAGAGCATGACTTTGGTCATGGGTTCAGATGCTGAAACTCAAGAGCCATTAGTGTGTTAAGAACAACTGTGTGTCTGTTGTGGCTCACACCACATTCTGGGGGGCTGAGGCAAAAGAATCAAAAGTTCAAGCCCAGCCCTGTTACAAGATAAAAATGGCTACAGATGTAGCTTAGTGCAAAGATCCTGTCTGGGTTAATTCACCAGTATTCCCCCCCCCATCAACTATGATAATATTTCTATTTATTTTCCTGATAAGTCCCCATCAAATTCATTTGGAGTCAAGAGAATGTACTTTGTATCATGACTCCAAATTCGCTGGACTCAATTTTAGTGAGATGACTCGTGATAGGTTCTTGGCACAGCAGAGAAACAGGCAGAAAAAGGAGACAGAGGCTTTATTTTCTTTGAGGACACGGAGAGAATTTGGAGAAGATAAGAAATTCTCTGGACTAGACAAAGAGAGGCTGAGGCTTTTATGGCCATTTGCCAGGGGAGGGGCTTGAAGGGGATGTTTGTTTGTTTATTTATTTATTTATTTATTTATTTATTTAGTGGAACCAGAGATTGAACTCAGGCCCTTGGGCTTGCCAGGCAAGCACTTATTCTCCTAAGCTATCTCCAGGCCCTGAAGGTGATGTTTAGATATACCTGAAAGACTGATTGGGGGGTCTTCCCTGAGGTGTTGGGAAGAGTGAAAGTAAATTATGTCTTGGGCTAAGTTGGAGAAGAAGGGGGAGGTGGTCTTGTGTAAGATGGGCTTTTGTTTTAAGGGCATTGGCCATATTAGATGACCACCATAATGATTTTAGCAATTCATACTAGGGCCAGAACCTATCAACTCATACCTTTAAAACACCAAACAGGCTGACAGGGTACATTTACTAGGGAAAAATATGTGGCCTTTAGCTAGAAAAAAAAAAAAGGAAATAAATTGATCTTGCACTTGTACATTGGTTGAAACCCTGAGGTCTCAGTAGAACTTGGCTAAGTGAGAATCATTTAACTACTGTGACTATAGTACGGACAGAAATTTACAATTATTAGTGAGGTGACAAAAATGTAGGATCCTCTGCTGAGCTCTCTAGTCTCATGTAGTTTGGAATCCAGGATGGATGTAATTTTTTTTTTTCTCTCTCCTTAGGATACTAAGAGCAACAAAATTTTGGGAAATAATCTCTTAAAAACAGTTTTGATCTGATAACTTGAAGGCCGTTGTATAATTAAGTATCATGAAACTTACTATTATAGAAGGAATTCTAGATTTGGAGAGAGTTTAAGTGATAGATGGTTATTTTCTTCATCTGTGGAAAACTCAAGAGGGAATTTGGTTGCATATGAAAAGATTTGGATATTCTAAAGGATTGTAAGTATAGTAAGATGCTGAAATATGTTATTGATGGAATATTTTGATTTATTAAAAAGATACCAGTCGTTTTGATAAATGTCTTCTGGGAGAGTTTGATGCTGAGAAATGACTTAAGAGATCTAAAATTTAGAAATGATAAGCAATCAGGGTTTATATTTGTACCTTTAGACTGGTACATTTTCAAGCTTTCTATAATAGGTTGGAAAATTCAAGCAATGTTGTGACCAGTAAAGTTTTTTCTTTCTTGGAATTTCCCTGAAAGATAGTACTGGAAACCCACCCACCCACCTCTCAGGCAGCCACAGCCCCTCCCACTGGGGTGTGGAAAACAGCTCATTACTCAGGACCCAGTCAGGCCTGGAGTAAACAGAACTACATTGCACTGACAGTGGAACAAAATGACGAAGAGAGAGCGTGCGTCAAAGTTGCCACCCCATGATACAGGAGATGTTCCCTTGAGCTTTGTAGATGGGATTGCTTATGATCTCATTGTAAGAAAGGAAATTACAGATGCTTTTCCCCCCTTTTTTGTCTCTAAAGCTCATCTGTGCTCATCCATTCTTTTCTTTTTCTTTTTCTTTTGGGTGAACCGGGGATTGAACTCAGACCCTTGCATTGGCCAGGGAAACACTTATTCTACTGAGCCATCTCCTCAGCCCCTCATCTGTTCCTTTCATGACTTTTTTTTTTAACACCTACCATGTGCTGGTATTGGCTATGCAGTGTAAGTGGAGGACAAGAGGAGCATCATCTTGGCTTTTGGGGAGTTGGCCCTGGCAGGGAATAGACATTAAACAAATGAACACACATAATCACGTGGGTTTTTATTTTTATTTTTATTTTTTTTTCAGTATCAGGAATTGAACTCAGTACCTTGCACTTGCCAGGCAAGCGCTTAGCCTACTAAGCTATTTCCCTGACCGTTTTTTTTGTTTGTTTGTTTTTTCTGGTAAATGCTGTGGAGGGAGAGAACAGGGTATTGTAAAGGAAAAGAGGAGGGAAGACATTGTTTAAAGGGAATTTCAAAGTCTGTTGTGGTAGTACATGCCTGTAGTTCCAGCTACTTGGAAGGCTGAAGCAGGAAGCTCACTGAGGGCAGGAACGTGAGGCTAGCCTATGCAACACAGTGAGACCTCATCTCAAAAAAATGAGAGGAGAGGGGTCATGTTGGAGACAGAAACTTGAAGAATAAATTCTAGTGAATAGTGAAGGAAAGGAGCCTGGTGGAAGAGCAGCAACCCATCCTCCTAGGCCCTAAGCCAGGAGCACCTGGGAAGCCGGAAGATCGTGTAGATGAGACTGA